AAAGGAAACAAAAACAGAGTGATGCAAGCATTGAACTGTAGTTGCGGCCATGACACTTGGTACTACCTGATGATCTAAACTCGCATCTTAAAACTGTTGATACCTTTTCTTTACCCCCTCCTTTCGGCATTTCTTCAGAGGTATCATTTAACGATAATAACTTTTATTTTTCCAACATTTCTCCCACAGACCTTTTAACCGCTATAATTAAATCCCGTACCAACTCCGTAGGCCCAGATGGCATTCTTGTAAAATTAATAAAATTATATCACCCTGAAATCCTCCCAGCTCTCCTTTTCATCTACAATGTCTCCCTGCAGTGTTCAATATTCCCGACCTCTTGGAAAATAGCTATGGTCCTTCCTTTAAATAAAAAACCTAATTCATACTCTCCATAATCCATCCGAAGATTTCTGCCCAATATCAATCCTTTCCAATCTTTCAAAACCCCTAGAAAGGTTGGTGCAATCCCAAGTTTCCAACTTCCTTAAAAAATCCAACCAACTCGATCCTCTCCAATCTTATTTCCGTACTGGCTATTCTAAACAGTCTGCCCTGATTAAAATTACTGGTGATATTTAGACTGCTATAGATGATAAAAAAACTCACTATACTTATACTTCTTGATTTCTCCAAAGCCTTCGACTCCATTAACCATTCCATCCTTTTCAACAAACTAAAATCATTAGTTCTCCAATAGTTCCATCTCTTGGTTCTAACATTTCCCTCACAACTTATCCAAGCAGTTTCCATACCTAATCAACCACTATCTGCCTACCTTTCTTTATCCTCTAGAGTTGCCCAGGGTTCAAGCATATCTCCTCTTCTTTTCAACTTCTGTATTAACAACCTACATGATTCAATATTCCATTGCTCCCACCACCTTTATGCCGACGATTCTCAAATCTATCTACCCTTTTCTTCAGCTGAGTTATTAGTAGCACTTGCCAAAATTCAAGAAGATTAATATCGAATCAGTGCCTAGGGAAACTTATAGGATTAAGGCTAAATGCTGTTAAAACTCAGGCCATTGTCATTGGTTCCAAGCCCCTTCTTACATCCCGTAACAACTTTCCTTCACTTTACCTTAATAATCATCCATCACTTTCTACCCCTCTGTTTGAAATTTGGGCTTTTTCATAGATCAAACCCTCTCCTGGAATCACCATATTTCTCATATCTCCCGTCATGCAATTTCTATCCTCAAAATACTCCAGCGCTTTCGCCATCTCCTACCCCAAAATACCAGTAGACTCCTAGTTTCCTCACTCATCTCCTCCCACTTCGACTACAGCTGAATGGTGTTTGATGGCCTCTCAGTGGAGCTCCGTGATAGACTGAAAAGATTAATGAATAGCTTCGTTGGATTTGTAATTGGGACCCCGAGACACTCACGTATCTTCCACCACTACACTGAGATAGGGGTACATATTGTACTTAATGCAAATTTTGAGATTTTTAACTTATCTAAAAAACGATATTCCAATAAGCAAAGAGGGGTCAGACCTATTATCAGAAAAATATCATCCAGTCAAGAATCCAATGAGTCAAAGAGCCAATCTAATGAGCTGCCTTAATAAATAGGCAATAGAATTTGTGACGTTTCTTACTAGTTTTAATTTTAATAATATTCAACAGGTTAAAAATATTATCAACAGTGAAATATCTCTTTCGAACCACTACCTGAAATTCATACAATATTTCATTTTATTCTGTCCATCGTTCTAACCTTAATTAATAACAACAAACCAGTAAATAATTTTGCTATACAGTCCGAAATGAATATGCCTCTGTAAAAATTGACAATTTAAAGCACCTATTTTAAAAAAGAGAAAAATTAAAGACTGGCAAAATTATTTTGAATGTTTCAATTTCTATAAATAGAATCGAAAAAATTAGGAGAAATTGCAGGAAGTCATCAAGACAACCTTTGAAAAACAAGCTTCCCACCTTACCATCTGCTTTCGATAAACTTTTTCTTTTTTATAATATTTACTAGATCCAAGAATCCTATACAATCTTAAACTTACTATAAATATTGATATAAAACCAATATTGATACTATATATGATTCTTTGTAATATTTTTAATACTAATATAAGTTGTCTAGTCAAATCACATTTACAATTTCTATACAGTAGCGTTTTCTTAGTAGAGTTTTCTTTCTTAATTTTAAACATTGATAATCAAACCACTTTTCCTTAAATTTATGTTTATTATTATCCCTTTTAATACGTATTTTAAAGTAAGAAGCACTTTCAATAATGCTAATAAAAGAATTAATAGCTTCTTGAGGATCTTCCACAATTTTCATATGAATTTTGCTTGTAGAGTATTTTTGAGATTTTTACCATCATTCAGAGTCCATTTTAATTTGGGAAGTATCAGTAGTGTATTAACACTTTTAATCTTCTTAATTACAGAAACAAATATAGCAGGATGGGGTCACTAAATATTTCTTATTTAATATTAAACTCTTAAATAAATTTCAATAATCCAACCGAAACAGCGTATGAATCTATAACCAAACCGCCATACTTCAGTTCAGAACTACCCTGATATAGGTTAATCCACCACTTTGACCTTTCAATCCTTTCAATCAGAATAATCTAATTTAAATCCACACATAATAGAAAAAAACACATGTCTTTGCAATTTGTTACAGTATCTTTTGATTTATTATAAAAACAAATATTTAATTTTTTTTAAATTTATTTTAAATGATATTTACAACTGTATACAAAAAATACATCTAGTAAATTTGCACATTGGTATAAAGACATGGAACACATGTTGAGAAACTACCCATTGGTAGCACTCTAATAATATGTCTATATTAGAAGATCACGTGGCCATCTTCTTTTCAGACGCCTCGGAGGGTTATCAGGAATCGAATAGGAAGCAAGGTTAGAGACAAGAGGGTTGGGATGGTTATGAAGTTTATTATGGAAGGACAGATATCTGGATTGGGCCAAATCTGATACATAAGGAACATTAAGGTCATTATGGATAATTTTATTTGTAACAAAGTAAGGAGCATAGAGGATTTTATGAAGGATTTTGGATTGCAAGGACTGTATGCGAGAGGAATTTGAAGGCTTGGTGGAGCCCCATAGCTCAACCCCGTAAGTCCAAATAGGCCTTATTATAGTCATGTAAATCAGTCTTTTATAATTGATTGGAAGGTTAGAGCGTTTGTCTAGTAAGTGTTGAAGTAGTCGGAAACGTCGAGCGGTTTCTTGTCGTTTCAGTCTGGTATGAGGATTCCAAGTTAGACGTTTGTCCAGATGGAGTCCTAGGTAACGGATTTGTTCAACAGGAATAAGTGAATTTAATTTATCAAAAACTAATTCTTCTGGAAGATTTAATTTTTTTTTAAATCATCAATTTATTTTACAGGAGATATGTAAACTGAAATAAAAACGATTTTTTTAATTTTTTATTTCACCTGAACTATCTTAAAAAAAATAATCATCTAATTTAAATATTTTCAAAATGGTAAGTTGTTATACTTCGAATCACTGGATTAACAATATCATCATCAACATACAACTTATTATATATGTACATAATAATTTTCTTTATACACTGACAGGCAAAAAAATTCCACCCACTTGATTTTTTCATGTTTTCATCTAAAAATATTTCTGCTTTGGATTGGTCTATTGTTTTTAATGAATAAATAGGTAATCTTTTTTGTATGTTTTCAATTAGGAATGTTAATATAGAGGGCAATAACCCTTAATCCTTAATTCGATGAAATGATTCTAGATTCCAATGTTTACTTTCTATGGAATCAAAATGTTTATTCAGTATCATTAGTTCAGTGCCGTTTCTTGCAGCTCATTTCTTAGTCTCCGGCTTTTAATTTTTTCAATATTAAGTTTAAAAATGCCTCTTAGTGCTAAGGATAATGGACGTACCATTAGATATGCAGCTTATGCCATCGGAGTTCCATATGAAACTTTACGAGACGCCGTCAGGCATTTTCGGGAAACTGGTTCTTACAATAGAATAGGCCCGGTTCTGGACAGCCTAGGGTAACAGAACCACGAGATGACCGGTTTTTGACTTTGAGAATTTTACGAAACCGGCACCTTACCATTGTTCAAGCGATTCATCAGCTCGAAGAAGTTCGAGGTGTGCAAATTTCTGAACCTAACGCTCGGAGAAGATTAAATGAGTATGAATTAATGGCTTTTCGTCCAGTAAGAGGACCAGAGTTGACCAGAACTCACAGAGTAACACGGCTGGCTTTTGCTCGAGAACACAGCCATTGGACTATGGACGAATGGAGTGCTGTACTTTTTACAGATGAGTCAAGATTCGCTCTTCGATCTCCAGACGGGCATGAAAGGGTGTGGAGAAGAAGAAACGAAAGATATGCAGAATGTAATTTTTCCCAGAGCCAACCTTTCCAACGTGGTTCCTTAATGGTGTGGGCTGGGATTTCAATGGAGCTCCACACAGAATTTGTTGTTGTTCATGGAGGGTCTTTGACGGCCATTTGCTATGTAGATGAGATTTTGGAACCTCACGTGTTGCCTATCCTCAACAAAATCGTCGATCGTTTTATTCTAATGCACGCCCACATGTCGCCCGCATAGTGCAGACGTTCCTTCAACAGAACAATATTGTGGTTTTAGCCTGGCTAGCACGTTCTCCAGATTTGAACCCCATTGAGCATTTATGGGATAACCTCGGAAGACAAATAAGAGCACGTGCAACACTTCCTGATACACTGCAGGACCTTGAAAGGGCTCTTCGGGAGGAATGGGCTATCCTCCAGCAAAGGGACATTTCCCGACTGGTGGAAAGTATGCCGAGGCGTCTTCAAGAAGTAGTGAAGGCAAGAGGAGGAAACACGCGCTACTAAACGATGATGTAATTAATTTCTTTTAGAATAATAATGGTTCGTTTTGGAACCTTGGAAACATTGGAATCTAGAATCATTTCATTGAATAAAGGATTAAGGGTTATTGCCCTCTATATTAATATTCCTAATTGATAACAAACAAAAAGATTACCTATTTATTCATTAAAAACAATAGACCAATCCAAAGCAGAAATATTTTTAGATGAAAACATGAAAAAATCAAGTAGGTGGAATTTTTTGCCTGTCAGTGTATATAGAAAGTAAAAATTTATCATTAATTTTTTTTCTATAAAATAGATCAAGATATGTGATTGAAAAATAAACTAAGTTAGTTTTTATATAATCTATTACTTTATTTTTTTATACATAAATTGCTTAAAATTTTTTTTATTGAATTTCTTTTTGACTGCTAAATTCCTTCTCTTCGACATTTTATGACGGATAGACTGCTTCAATTTTTTTCTGACTTCATTATACTGTAGATTATTTTGGTTGTTAACGCATTTAAAGAACAAAACTCCATCTAAATATTTAAAAATTACATATTTAATCAGTAAAAGAATAATCAAGTTTGAGAAGCAACTAATTGTTGATAGTAAATTTAAATAGCAAATACTTTTAAATAACTTACTATTGTTAGTGTTATCATGCAACTTATACTGAGAAATTACTAAGTGTTTTTAATTACACAATTACCTAACTAACAAATAGATAATGCATGATTCATATTTCATTCCTTCAATCCATATTTAATCTATTGATAGAAATGTTTATATAAAGAAAGTACCTAATACTCAATTCTTCTTCGGTGCATACTATTATTTTCAAGTTAATTTATTATTAGCCATATTTACACCAATTTAAAAAAAATTTTTGTTGTCACTTAATGACTACTCATCAAAATGACGACGTTTCGGCTCGTCGAGCCATTTTCAAGTCTAAAAAAATTTTTTCATTTACAATCATATATTAAATTTTAACATATTTCAAATTATAAAGATACTTATTATGTACCTAAAATACCCATCATGTACCTGTCATTTTCACTTATGCGAATTGCAAGCGTCTACAATATAATAAAATTCCTTATTATTGTCATGTTCACCTTTAATTATTTAACAACATTATTATTACTCATCTTTACTATTAAATGATTCAAAATAAGTTAAATTTACCATGTTTCTGAGTCACCCACATGTCATCCATCTCATTTCTATTCAGTGACTGGTTATTCTTATAGGAGTAGGGGAAGACTATTTATTATGAACATATATAATGCTGTTACTCAATATTACATGTGGATCTATTTTAAGTAATATTAGCTGATTTATTTCAAATTTTGATTTTTTCAATAGAACTAGCATAAAAAGTATTCATATTATCCACGTCTGTATGATTATTTACTGAGTTTTTTAAGTTTTTAGTTATGTATATTGATTCTTTAATTCTACGTTTATTCGTATTTCTTTCATTATGTAGGATTTTGGCATTTTTGAAATCAAACTCATGTTTAGTTTGCATATTATGTTGTGAGAGTCCAGTAGCTAATTTAATTTTTGTGTTTTTTGAATTACAATTTTGTTTATGCTGTTTAAGCCTTTTTTCAAACCATTGGGATGTTTGTCCAAAATATGCTTTGTTGTCGCAATTCTTACAATTTATTTTATAAATAATATTCGTTAATTTATCGATAGGTACTTTATCTTTAGTTTTCGAATAAATTGTATCTAATTTATTAATTGGTTTGCTTGCAAATTTAATTTCATTTACATCGTATTGTTTAAATGTTCTTTCAATTTTATCAGTTAAGTTTCTAATATATGAGACGCTAAAATATTTTTTAGGTTGTTGTTTGTTCCCATTACATTTTTCAATTTGTGTCTTAATGTCATGTATATCGTTCATGGAAGGTTTTTGTTTTACTGCATTTTCAGTTTTAAAATAATTTGTTATTAAATTCGGTTCTTTATTAATTTTAATATTTTGCTTCACTTTCTCACTCCTATCATTGCTAATGTCAATAATCTGTTTGTTACTATTGTCATTTATAATTAACTTTTTATTTTCATACCATAATTTATTAATTAATCGAATGGGGTACCAATTTTCTAATAGAATTTGATATATTTGTGCTTTGATTTCAATTTATATGGTTTTGATCTGTTATTAATTTTGCCTTATTTATTAAATTTTTAGCTGTGTTAATTATTATATGTTTCTTGTGGTTACTGTGCCAGTTTTTTTAGACTTGAAAATGGCTCGACGAGCCGAAACGTCGTCATTTTGATGAGTAGTCATTAAGTGACAACAAAATTTTTTTTAAATTGGTGTAAATATGGCTAATAATAAATTAACTTGAAAAGTACCTAATGTTAGGATGTGACAGCCGAGCAGGTTAGGGCATTTATCGCAGAGTTCCGAGGTCTCAACATTGTGGGTTCAATTCCTACCAGAGTCGGTTAATATTTATTTTTCGGCTAACCCAGGAAATGAATCTCGACATCCCAATTTAGGTAAGAGGGCTGTGGCAACCTCTCTTTATAAAATCTATTCAAATGTCATCTATTGGATATTTAAAGAATGCCGAGGTAGGCTTCTGTCAACCTACTGCAGGCAACAACGTGACTTCTTGATATCTCTGTTAATCCCATTTCAATCAAAATTTCTCAACTTCTGATTCTCTCATAAAATTAATTATATTTTTATTTATTCTACACAATATTACCTATAGATCGAATTTAAAGAAAGTTACAGGGACACTTTGTCTCTCTTTTTGGCACCTAATATACCCCAGTATTAGATGAGCCTAAGAATAACTAAAGCATTTCTAAATAAAAAAATCAAAATGTCTAAAAGCACTACAAATTAGAAATGTTGTTTTCTTAAATTTGACCTATAAGGATCATGGTGAAGAAGAAATAAAAATTAATGAAGAGAGGTCAAGAGTATGAATTAATTTAATGCTACCTTCAAATGATAGAAAATGCATCATATTACTTTTTTGATGATTAAGCTTCTACTTTGAATTAAATACTTCAAGATTTAAATTTCTTTATAGCTATACTTACTTTCTAGTAACTCTATTTTTATTTACTGTATTATTTTAATAATTTAAAAATTAATTACTTAGAGATGGATATATAGTCGACAGTTATTTTTAAATTATAAGGGTGACAAATAGTCAAGAGTTGCAGTCTAGATATGGTTTATTAGGCTTGCCAACATTTTGAACCAAGCATGTGAGTCATCAGGGAGTGGTTAGATAACAGTAACCTTCATGACCTACATACTAGGGTCATAACATTGGCAAGCCTAATAAACCATATCTAGACTGCAAATCCTAACTGTTTATCGTACTCAAAATTGTTCATTATTGATTTTACTTTAAATGGTTCTTTGATTTTTGAAATTGTTTAAAAAAAATTAATAAAGAAAATATTTGAAGCTCCGACACTTCTAAAATGTTCTATAATTTAAGAAATATTATTGGAATAGGTAAAAATTACTGAGAAATGAAGAAATGAAGTGAATTCAAAATCATGATCCTAAAATAAAGGAGCATTATTAATCCATCCATAGGTACATGACTATAAAATGGAATCAACTTAAAACACTTATCTAACAATTGCTCATGCACTAGTCACCAAAAGATTTTAATCTATCAGGAACCTTGATACATTCACTTACTTGTGTTAAAAAGCTAAAGCTAGTAGATGTTAATTCAACAAGAATTTTATTTAAAATGACCTTAAAAATCTGCAAGTAGGCTTGATTAAGTTAATTTTGTTTTGTTACAAAGGAAATATAAGTAATGAGAAACATGACCAGCTTGCAATAAAAGGCACTGAGATTCCTATTTTGGTACAAGAAATTTCATAAGATATCTCCAAAGGGTATCAATGTGTTGAGGTTTTTAGCTGGTCTTAGAAAAGAAAAGGCAAGGAATGGACAGAGTGTATTTGCTTAAGTAAGCAAAATGGATTAAAGAGAAATTGGAGTACTGACTGATACAGACTTAACTGATAAAAAAAGATTGAAGGAAACTAGTAGACTGTTCTATCATGGGTGATAAATATTATGGGTGATAAATATTGAGGAAGCAGTCATTATAAAACTTTTTTATTAGTGCTAACATTTCAACTTTAACATGTGGTCATCATCAGGGCTAAAAATTGTAAAATACAATCAGAGATATAATATTATACGACCGATAATGGTAAATAATAAACTATAGTGATTGATTGTACATGAATCTTAACTAATATTACAATACACAATATTAAAAATGAAATATGTAAAAAGTTATAGAACTAAAAATAATGTATATAATCCATTTATAAAAATTTGAGATATTTTCTCTTACTAACTGTGGTTCGAGCACTGAAGGTTTTCAAGAACTGACACATTCGGTAGGTAAGTGAAAGAGTTGGGGGAGGATTTCCCAGTTGTCCTTTTTTAGATAGCAAAAGATAGGTAAACATAGTCAGAGGGGGGGGGGAGAGGGAGGTAACATTTCTATATGTAGAATGTAAATAATTTGCTCACTAAATATTCAAGATGTGTACAAGATTTGCGTTATTTCTTATGGTTACCGAATTGTGACTATTGGCTGGTAATGAAATGAACATTAGCAAGAGGTGCCAATCAATATAAATATAACATAATTTGATTAAAGGTATACAATGGTTTGTAGCCAATAATATTTATAATAAAGACAATTATAATGGATTGAAATGGTTCGTGGGACAATATTTTAAGAATAACAATATTAATCATAATAGAAGTATGTATTATATTAAGGATTACGTAGTTTTAGTAGTATAAGTATAAACATATCCATACGTGTTTATAGTATATATTTATATTGAGAATAATGGACATTTTATATATATATATATATATATATATATATATATATATATATATATATATATATATATATATATATAATAAACATAGGAGTAGTTACCTATGTTAGTTGACAGGGAAATGGGGAAAATGAATAATAAAATTTTGAATGATTACAGACTATTGTTTTAGGAGGCGGAAAATATTTGAATATGTGTTGCAGATCTTTTTTTTTTTTCCAAATTAATGAATATAGCCTCAGAAAGTAGTCGTTTTTGGTGATTGGGAACTGTAGCAAGTATGGTTGGGTTTCCAAATCAAATGTGTGGTTGAGAGTTATGGTGTGTTTGGCTAGTTTCGAAGTGATTGGGTTTCGTGTGGAGATGCTGTATTTGTGTTGATGTATTCGTTTTTGGTTTATCCTATATAAAAAGAATTTCAGTTTGGGCTAGAGCATATGATATAGTATACAATATTTGATTGGTGTAGGAGCGGAACAGGATCTTTGAGTTTGGTGTATAGATTTCTTAATTTATTGTTATTATTTTTTAAAACTATTTGTAGATGGGGGAATATAATGGAAACCAAAAACTTAAAAAAAAAAAAAGAATACCAACACAAATGCAGCATCTCCAAAGAAACCTGCTTGCCTCGAAACTATCCGAACAGGCTATA